GGTCTTCAAGAAAACTACAACATTTTCTTGAGTTATGCCCACTTTTAGAGAGAAAGTTGACCCATTCTCCGGATCGAGTTGCTACAACTTAATGTGCTCATGTGGTCGCTTTTATGTTAGGGAAGAAACTTGTCGTCCCATTTGACAAAGTGTGGCTGAGCACAAAAGCGCCTGCAGATGTTGGGTTCCAAAATCGGGGTTGGCTGAGCACAAACAGAAAGTGAACAGTTCTCGTTTTGCTGACTATGGCATGTCTACGGCCAAACGTGTTTGCCCTAATCTCGTTTTCCTCATCATCAAAGAATGTAAACTTTTAATATTTTCGTAAATTCGTCAAAATAACCAATTCGTTAGATGCTTTCAGAAGAACTTGCTTAGTCATTCTTTTAGCAATATTCGGATTATACCGAATTAGGGAATAAGTGTACGTGATGAAGATAATTTCAAACAGCGAATAAGGTCAAATCGAAGGTATCAAGGCCCAGTTGGTGTGTCGTCTTGGAGACAAAGTCGAGGCTAAAGCCCCGAGCAATTTCATGTTCAAGCCTGTGCTTGATGGACCACGTGTCTGGCCAAGCAGGCCTACCACAAGCAGCCAACAAGCTCGAGTCCCCGCCGCGTCAATCCTGTTTCAAACCCCAACACCAAGTCGTCTAGTTGCCATGCCCCAGTGGCTGGTGGTCCAACCCACAAATTTGTGGTTCAACCTTGAACCTGATTAAACCAATCGGTAGCACAACATTTGTGGCTTGGCAGACAAGTCATGGACTCGGCCATTGGGACATAAAAGAGGACAGACACGGCCGAGACTGGAGCTAGTTGTCTGCTTGTGGTAGGCCTGCTTTGCCACAGACGTGGTCCATCAAGCAAAGGCCTCAAGTGAGTCTCCCAGAGGCAGAGTGTGCGAAATAACGCCTCGTGGAGCACAGACGGTGGGGGGGGAGAGGTGGAGGAGTCGAGTGAAGTACGTGAACCGGGGAGATGGCAGCGGATCCTACGGAGCAAGAGGGAGACGTGGAGTGTGGAGAGTCGACATGAAAGTAGCTCAAAATGGCACAGCCTACCACGTTTAAACACATGATCTGTATTCACCCTATTTCGTTTATGAGTAGAGCCGCTTTTCCATTCCATTTCACACAGTCTTGCTTTACCAAAAGTCGCTCTCATCCCGGCTGAAGTGGACTGCAGTTTCC